GGGCATCCGGCGTACAAGACGACCCCCGATTTTTGGGGGATGTTTTTTAACTTCAGAGGTCGTCTTGTACGCCGGAATATACGGTATTTTGCTTGGGGAACTGACGTAACAAGCTGTACCAGCTCACTCTTGCTAGGAGGCTTTGTCAGTGTAGCTATACCTGAAAACCTTTCAGAGGGCAGACTAGCTTTTAAATCAGTTGTGTCCAGGGTTACTGCCCTGTTTATTTCTGGCAGTCCCAGCAGAGCAATGATTTGTTATTCACCAGACTCAGTGGGAGTTCATACAAGGAACAGAGCCTGAGAGTGTATTGCTTGGAGTGCCGACAGCGCTCCCCTCCAAGGGTATGTCTACACTGCAGTTAAGATCAATCCTCCCAGCCCAGCTGGACACAGTCATCTAAAAAAACCAAAAAACAAAAAAGCAGTGTGACTGCTGAAGCTTAGGCTGGAACTTAGGCTCTCAAACCTCCTTCTTCCCTTGCCCCTGGGTAACAAGCCTGAGCTGCAACATCCACATTGCCATTTTTAACCAAGTAGCTTAATCCCTAGTAGCATGAGTCTGTTTACCCAGAATCCCAGCTGCAGTATACACTTATTCTTAAAGTTTTGTCTTCACTGCAGAGTCAGCCCAGCTACGGTAGTGCATATGGATTGCTCCCAAGGTAAAGACCTACCCATTCATGCCAGACCCATGTGACTGCTTTCACAACGGTGCTACATCAGCCAGTGTGCTGGGATGGATATCTACCAGGACATCCCATGGATTTGATTCTCTTTGACCTAAGATCCTGTGCCTCCAGCAATGTGCCCTCTAATCTTTTCCATCCATGTGCAGAATACATTTTATGTGCACTGAGGCATGTGAGAATGTGCACCACGAATATAAACATAAAACCTAGCTGTGGGCCCTCTGCTAATCAGCTGGGCAGCATCTGAATGTCTCCTAAGTGGCTTCACAAGTGCACAGCTTATAGGGAAAATTTCCCTCCACTGTCAGCCGCTCAGTCATAGTACTGTGGGTTTCAGGTACATTTCCCCAAATTATGGTTCTTACTGTAATCACAGCACAGTTTTACTGGAAGGCTTGTGTCAATTTATGGCCATATGCTAGGGGACATATTTCTCGGATGGCATCTCTGAATCAAATGCTATGTAACATTGTAGAGATGTGGGGCTAAAATGCTGAGCCAAGTAAATTCCGCTGCACAAGGAGAAGTTAGACAAGCAAGTATAGCCCAGATGGAACTGTGGGATAGGAGTTGAGAAGTAATAACACCCAAACTTAATTAATTGCTTTCTTACTGCAAAGTAGGCAGGTTGCCAGGCCAGGTTTATGAAATAAAACCTGAGCTTGTGCTTATACATACCCTTAGCCATGGGCATGAAGCTCCCTCATGCCTAGTTTAGAGGTCTTTTTCTGTGTAAACAGAAGAGGAGCAACACCTGAACTTATCATACAGGCAGTGAAGGCATAGCATTTTCCAGTACTAGATTATTGGAATTACACACAGGGAGACAATTTCACTTCCCAGGATCGGTTATTAAAATAAAGAAGCAGCGGCATTTATTTATCTAATAGATTCCCTTACCACATATGTAAAACCCTTCAATTCTGCAGATATCTGCTTCATATCCATAGGAATCCGCATCCACGACTATGGATGCGGATATCTACAGCTCATTTTTGAGGTTACAGATGTAGCTGTGTAACCAAATTTTGTATCTAGAACCATGCAAATTCACAGATAACGTCTTTATATCCATGGTTATCTGAATTTGCGGATGTTTGCATACAAATTTTGTATCTGTGCAGGGCTCTACACATAAGGACAACATGTATCAGCCACTGCAGTGTGGCTTACTCCAAAAGCAGAGAAGTATTTGTAAAGATCCTCAACCTGGTAAGAATTCTATTGGCTCTTTCTGAATAAGCATATCTTTTGAGATGTGTCTTGTGTACAAAAGCAGGTTGACAGCCCAAAGCTGAATCTGATGTATAATGCTATGATAGTCTAGTCAGTTTTGCTTTCTTGTCACTTTTCATATTCTGGTCTCATGAAATACCACAAGAGTGTTGTGGTTGAGTTTTCAATACTTCAGGAAAAGTTTTAAATCCATAAATGTGGTTTAAGTGACATTTTAAAAAGACCATGCAAATATTTATATTAAATATTAGGGTTTTTTTAAAAAAAAACCCCTCTGGCCTAAAATAAATTATTCCTTTCTCTTTAATCTTTCCAAAAGGAAGACAGTGTTCATGCTTCACAAGCATTTTAAGACATGCCTAAATATTCAAGCTTCTTACTGCATAGTGTCAACAGCTTGATTAAAGAGCCAACAACCCTGCTGAGGCCAGTTTTAACAAACTCGAAGTGAAGCATTGTTTCCCTAAAGCAAACTACCCAAGATATAGGAGCATGGTAGATGGGAGCCCCTTTCTACAATCACATGCCCTTTTGCTTACATCGAACCCTTAGTGTCTATCACAATTTAAAAATTCAGCTTCTTTACAGGCATCTTACACTAGTGCAGTTCAAGAGAAAGACTGCAGTGGGGGATGCCTTGTAATCTAATGCCTGATGCGTAAACCAAATTTAATTATGTAGGTGGAATTGCAAACACTTGAGGGCCCCCCAGTCCAGCTTCTTTCTTCTCTTGGTACCATAGTAATGTCTTTAAAGAAAACAGCTGCCTTTTCACATGCTGGCTAGGGCCAAAATAAGCTGCCCCTCCAGATGTGAACACCCAGACACAAACACATTGCCTCCCCCCTCCAGTAACATGAGGCGTATTAATGGGAAACTGGGCACTGAGCTGGATGCTGGACTTGAAAAGCTTGTCCTCACAGTCTGGCACAGAGCAAACTACTGTTCTTTTTAAAAAATCCCCTGCTCTTAGCAACATTTGTTTTTCTAACTGGTTCCCAGAAACCTCTTGGGGGCTCCAAACTCAGAAAAAGTAATTACTGCATTACCTTGGCCTCAGCTACAATGTCAACCTTGTTAGGCTTGGTCTGTGGAGCCAGCCAAATTCAAACATCTGCTGCCGCAGCATTTATTTGATAAGCCTCATAGTTCACTAACATAAACCTGATCCTGCTGACCTGAAGGAGGATGAAAAGAATGGGGGAAAGAGGGTGGAGCAGTCTGATGATCACATGACCTACTGGCCCAGCAGTGTAAGGCCCTGTTTCCCTGCAAGCTTCCATTTCTTCTCTTTCTTGTTTCCCAGCAAGCGCTTCAGGGAATTGGCTTTCCCCTGCAGTTATGCAAGCAGATGTGGAAGGGGCTAGGATTCCCAGGCCTTATAACAGATTAACTGACAAGCACAGGATCAATACAGGAATTGTTCTAGCTCTGGCTGCATATGGGGCCTTCCAAAGCAGACAGAATGGCTACACACACACTTGTTGGCAAAGCGGCATGAACTGAAAGGCTAGCTTACTAACAAAGTCCATTAATTAACAGCAGGGGAGGGGGAGGAGGAGAGCTGAGAATCACTAAAAGCAACAGATTGTAAAGGTTGGGGAAGTGGGAATGGAAATTTACATTTGATTCTTATTTCGCAAAGGGCAGTATTTTCTTGTACAGTTAAGAAAGAGGAAATGAAATAAAGGTCGGGCACACACACACTCACACACGAGCCTCTTCTCCAGCTAGTTGGTGGCTGAAATAGCAATGGAGTTATCTTATAATGTGCATCGTGCCTAGCTGCCAAACAATACTGGGAAAAGACAGAGGAATTAGGAGGAAAGAAAGAGGAAAAATACTCCTAATGATTTGCTTTGTGTGGAGCAGACAACACATACCTGCTGATAGTGGGGG